TTTAGAAACATTAAATTCAATGTCGTTCTCCTTGGACCATTGATAAGCTGCGTTGAGTGACTCCTGGAGTGCTTGAAAGCTTCCAGATTTTGGCGTCATCTGCAAACAGTATTGTTTTTGAGCCTAACACTTTCGGTAGATCATTAACGAAGGCGAGGAACAGACGGGGACCGAGTACGGACCCTTGTGGAACACCGCGGGTGGCTTTGATGGGTCCGGATACAGAATCAGAAACACGAACTGATATGGTTCGTTGATCGAGGAATGCTTTGGTCCACTCAAATGCGAAATCTCGAACGCGATAATCATAGAGCTTCTGCAGTAGAATTTTGTGATTCACTCGATCAAATGCTTTCGCGAAGTCGAGATAAATCACATCCACCGCATCCCCTTCGTCAACTGTACTGGTCGATTCATCTCGAACGAGAAAGAGATTGCAACACAATAAAAATCATACATTTTTTCAGATGATTAATTCAAGTAACTGTGATTCTCATCCGTTATCACCGAATACACAACTTAATAAACTGTTTTGCAGCCTGACTGTAATAATAAATGAGGCAACCGATAATTACGTAGCGTGGAATAACATCTTTTATCAATTTCTGTAAGTAGACCCTATTTGCTTAAAAGTGCGTAGATATCTGTTTGGCAATTCACATTAAGATGTCACCATTATTTTCCAATACTTAAGGTCTCGAAACCTTGATTCCAATGTGTTTTGAAGAATAAAAGCACCTTGAGAAGCAACTGAAAGGTAGTGATTTTCTTAGTTAAAATATCGATGTGGAATACTGGCCAATCGGAATACTTATTCAACGATTTATCTTCAGTCCTTTCTCGTGTCTTATATTTGTGTAAATCACAGAAAAGCTCTGTGTGGATACAGAAAAGCACTGTAGTCCACCGAAATGCAGCCTATAAAACAGATGACCCCAATAACCTTTGAATGAATCAAATCTACCAGTCCGCTCCATTTGGTTTTCTACCGCAGTGAATAAACGAATGAACTGCAAATTTCCAATTCCTACACGTTACATATTGCGTAGCTTATTTGCAGCTTTTGGAGCAATTTGCATAAAACTTCTGGGAATTATTTACCACCAATATGGACCACAGTTATTTCGAATGGCCAGGGATGCTGTGAGTATACCAAAATGCCCAAACGCGCAACACGATGTTATTTTTATAGCATTAATATACTTTGGAACTCCAGTTCGAATGTCCCATTGCACAAATTAAGATGCAGAGTTTGACGCGAAAGGGTTTTCATAAATGAGTCACAAAAATGTCCATTTATTATTGTTCTTTTATCAAAAGGGTTCACTTGTACATATAAAACATTGTTCCTCTTCCCACGGGAGCAACATTCTACTGGTGTGGTCATCCATTGCTATTTCTTTTGTATTATGCTAATATTCTTTTCGTATTATTATAAGAAAAGGAGTTCAATAATGTTTTCAATTTATTTTCCGGTCTTGGTTTCATTCACCTGTTTGTTATTAGAATTTTCTTTTCAAAGAACTGTTTGCGGGCTCCGTCAAACAATCTTCAATTAACTATGAGTGTAAAACGCTTTTCAATGCCAGATTCACACAATGTTGCTGGTTCATCAATCTTTTCCTTTTTTCTAAGGAATTTGATTAATTGTTGGCGACTAATAACATATACCTAAAAATGACCTATCAGTTCTTAAGATCCCACATAATTATCTCCGACAGAGTTTTCCGTACCCCGTTACCATGTGATCGTACGAATGCCTTGCGAGCACCACCAATCTTCTGTGTTCTCGTTGAACATCTCACTGCTCGGTCCTCAACACAGTGTCAGTGCAGAGCACGGTAAATTTTGAGTGACTTGGAAAGTCATGTGCAGCACTGTATGTCTCAATGATGAAATTGTAGTTGTGATGTTCTGGAAAATAAACAACAACACCTTTGCGGGAAACATCTTAGACGGAAAAACAAACAAATAAAAACCCATGAAGATCTACTAACAGACTCTCGTTTTCTTCGGTTCGGTAAGACTTATGGGCTGGACAAATGCTTTTATTGAACAACGTTTGTTCAGAAGAGATTTCGTCACCTGTAGTAAAGTTGTGCGCAAATATGACTTTGAACATGAACCGAGAACACACCATTATCAATTCATGCGTGTTGTTTACTATTTGTGGCAGAAAGATCAGAATAATGCTATACATTTCGACCAAAAATAGGTTCGCAGTCTAATGCAAGAAATTAACTTTTATTGTCTTCTATATTCTACTTTCAAATTCGGGAGAGATTTACTGTGTAGTTTAATTGTACATGATTGATTTTAATTCTAATTATGCTGAAAGACGCAAATTTTAGTTCTGTACACTGCCAAATGTCTGACAGGTTTATTTCTCTATCTATTAGTACAAGAAATCACGTGATCCACCCAGTACCGACCGAGACAGTCTCGCGAAACAGATGACAATGTGGGAATTTGACCACTTCCAGCGTAGACAAATCACGTGCATCCGAGATACGCATGCGTCCAGGCCACCTCGACACCAATCCAGACCCGCGGGTCAGCCGCTTACATCACGTGACTGAATGACAAAGCTAGATTTTGATGGTCTATCCAATATATACTGTACAGGAAGGTTTATGGGTTCTCTCAACCAAAATGTACACATTGCTGGACAAAACAGAGTAAAAACTGTATTATGCTACAATATACGTAAACTTGTTCAACGTCATCAGATAGGTCCAACTGGTTTTAAAATGTGTTTTGAATAACTTGAGGCTCATAGTAACCGCATAATTCCTTCTTTAAGAATAACGCATCTAGTGTGAACTTAATGGTGCACAAGTCAACAGATGCATAATTTTCTTATATAAGAAGCCCGTTTACAGCAGCGGAGAAAAATGTGTTCAAACTAAGTTTAATTAATCCTGCTAATGGCACAATGTTGGTTAATGACAAATAATTGAGAACTGGATTGACTTGATTTGTATAGATAGCTTGTTTTCACGTTTTCATCTACTAAAATCCAATAATTTCTTACTGGTGACAATACGGGTGTTAAGTGACCACTCGAATTTGTGGATGTGATTGTGCTCGGTTCTACTGAAGACCAGGTTTTTATTAAACTAAACCGACGTGCGTAAACTCCCTAACACTTTTGACACATTTGGTCGTTTTTATAAGTAGTGCACTTTTGTGTTGCCAACACCAGCAGGGATAGGATCAAAATCATCTAAAACTGAAGTCACACAATCCTCTGCAGTCAGTGTTTATCTTTAGTGTGTATCACTATTCACAGAGCAACTTATTTCACGTTGCATGCTCTCAAGTATTTGAAGAGGATAACAGCTACACATCAAACACAATAGATAACCAACGAAACCAATATCGTTCTAAAAACATTATCAAATCGTTTTGCGTCAGATTAATAGTCTGGTTTCAGGGTAGGATCGTATGTACTAATTCAAAATAAATTGATGCATTTCAGATGTAAGCAAAACCGATGGTCAAACCTCTTATAACAAGTGGACTGAACATACATGATCATTTAACGCCTCAAGTTTACCAAGGTTGATGAGTATCTGTTGAGTAAACATAATGAACGAACTAAAAAAGTACTGTTTTCTATCCGTAGCGTTCATTTACTAGTAAACATGTCAGATTTCGATGAATCCGAAAAGAAACAATCCACTTACCACATTCTAGAGTGACATCTAACGATTCAGATGTTTGGAACTGCATGCACAAACTGGTCTTTCCAACACGAGAGCTGCCCAAAACTTGGACAGTGAGTGGTTGTCTCGAAATACTTGTATCCAGTCGGTTAGGCGATGGCATGTGTTGCTGTGTCGGATAGGTTGAATCCGGTTCATACACGTAAGCCCAAGATCGGGATCGATTTCGACTTTCCGGACATAGGGTGTGTGGGGATTGTAACGCGGATGTTTGGATGGCCCTAGTAGATCCGTGATGTGAGGCTGGATTCACATGCGTAGTTGTAATGGCCGGTATTTCAATCACTTCAGTATCACTTTGCGAAGAGTCGTCTGATCGATCGCTTGCATCATGTGTGTAGATGGCCGGCTTCGTTTGGCTAACTGGTGAATGCGGATACATGGCACGTTGTGAATCGGTCGGACTGACGGAACGATAGAGTTCTATTTGCGGAATATCCTTGTCACCTTTGCTAATCACTTGACCGTCTTTTTTACGCTGAAATCGTCGTACGTGAACCAACTTCTCTTCAGGTCCACCTGTTTGGTTTTGGTTCGAGTAGCGACCGGGCGAATGTGGTTCAAATCCATAGGTTGGAGATAGTGTGTCCGGAAAAACAGCTGGGGCTGAAGGTCGATAGTGTGCTTTTGGTCGATTTCGCCCGACTTCTTTCATGGATCCGGCTCGATGACGATTGGCAGCATTCATACGAACATTAGGACTGGTACGATTGTCATCCAATCCGTTGTTCAACTCTGCAAAGCGACCACCTGTTTCCTCGCAATCCTTTATACCGGAGTAGTCATTCTGATTTATTCGATTATGTGATGAGAATGAAGCTCGTTTAGCTGCCGCTGTTGCGCTAAGTTCGCCACGAGAATTTGGGGATAAGTGACGTGTGGAGCGAGCTGGGGATCTAGCAGAACTGATATTCCCACTTCCCCTTGTATTGGGCACGTGTGATAACCTGCGGGGTTCTCGAAAACTGGAGGAACGTTTTACTTGGCTTTGGTCTTCAAAAGTGAGATAACCACATTGTGTGCTTCGACGTCCCATATACGGTTCGGGTGAATGATACATAGGGGATAGACTGTTGCGTGGAGAACGTTGGGCAATTTGACAAAATCTTTCAAAGTCGTCGTTTATTTCCATGATGGAGCAGCACGAAGTTAAAGTGATAAACTTGATTTAGTTTTCCGAGTCCAACACTGCTCGTGAATGCATTATTCGTGAATGAGGTCCAGCAGTATACATTTAAGAAAACCGAGAGTTGTGTTGTGAGGTGGCCAATCTCCCAAAACACCGTCCACTCAAATGTCCCTTCGTCTGTCTATCCACGATCTGGTATGTGCAAACACTAGCCCAATTCAGGGTCAGTATTTGAGGTCACGAGAACTGTTGATTAGTTTGGGGAAAGATACTACCACCAAGATAGAGCAACACACCACATTCTGTCCTGTCACCTTAGAGGATAGACGCATTTCGATTGGTGCAATCGTCGTGCGAGGACACTTAGAACGCTCACGCTGATTGGTCAGTTTGCTTTCGCGAGGAACACTGAATATTTATTCGGTTTTTTGTGAAAAACAAGTAACGGGGTTTCAATTGTGCGTTAAAATTTGATATTTTTTCAAACAATGAAGTTTACTAGTTACCTGAATCTTCTTAAGTATTCTGTGGACTTCTTCAGGACAGTGTTAGACTTTCGGTTCTTATCGGTTTCTGAATATAAAAGTTTGTCCATGCGTATCTGAAAGTAAGGCAGACACCCGCGGCTTCGATTTTCTACGGAATGACTGCATCTTAGTAACCNGGGGGGGGTACAAACCATTATAACATTTCGATAGTATGTGAACCGGAAGAAAGTCGTCCAGATGCGTCACTAATGTGTTCAAAATATTGGTCAATTTGGTGAAAGGTATTCCTTTATATGTTCTCCCATTTCCAAAAATCACTCACTATTTAGAATATTTCTCATGTGGATTGACCTTATTTTCTTAGTACCAATCTGCGTTCTTTGTTGATCACACCAAAGTCATAAAATGTTAAACAAACCGTAATGTGACATTTTTGAAAGAAAAAAAATCAGAATCATGAGGGAAAGAAAATGCAATACCTGATAAACTATTTAAAATTATTTTGGTTTTATCTGAGTTAATGAACCACTTGGTAGTTACCCGTTACTGTGTCGAACGTATGAACCAAAGCGATGTTGCATATGAGTACGCGATAATTGATATTTCACTCAATCTTTGGACCGATTAGTAGACATTTTCACCTCAAGCCAAAGTAAAGCCCAAATTTAAGGTTACAGTGGTTGTCGTATATACATCTCAACGAGCAAAATAAGAGTGTTTTTGTTCCGATGATGATCTCATTCAATTGCTATTCTACTAATTATTTATTATTATTATTATTTTATTAATCTATAGATATTCTCTTAAAGATAAACCGCGTCTATCAAGAAACGCTCTATTTCCTCTCTTGTGGAATGTAACTAGTTTCCATGTTTTGTTATATCGGCATTAGTCATCAATATACAGGAAAAACATACTCGTATAACGAATACGGAAGTGAAGTTCTCTTTGTTACATGCGTAATCCGTGAATTCCCGGAGTTACTCGGAGTGATAAACAATGAGATTTGAAGGATAATAGGTAAACCCTAGGTGTTTTTTCGATGCATAACTACTTTGATAGCAGACTCGGTTTATTCTGAGCATTGTGGATCCTTGTGTAACTACTCAGAAGAGCAGTGATTTCAATCCGATACAACAAAACACAAGAAGGAACAAATGTGCTGAAAAGAAATTTGGAGCGAAATTGCAATTGATTAGAAAACAAAAAATTTGTTGCTTCAGTCGGGATGAAAATAACCAAAGTATACCGACACTTTCTCCATTTTCCCTCCAAATTATAAACCGAGTTACTGAAGCAAGAATGGAGTCGGAATGAGAGAACCAATTTCTTGCGAATGCGCATCAATGAGCAAATAGCCAACGTAGAAAACATTTGTTTGTGGACCAAAGACACTAGAATTTGACTTCGGTCGAGATTGATTGACAGACGAGAAGAGAAATGCCACACAGGAATTGAGAACGTGGGTTTTTTGAGATGTGAAAGATGAAAACATGATTTAAACTCGAAATCAATTTCGAACATTAAAGAGAATTCTCCCAATCGTATTGGAGCATTTTTGGTATTTATCTTTTCTTTTTCGTTTCCTATTTCATTGTTGGCTGCACAATGGTACAATATCCAGGAAAAGGGGAGGCACAATCAAATAGCTGGCCTGCAATGGGACTAGTCAGAGAGAGAGAGCAATGGTGGGATTCGAACATATGTTCCCTGCGTGACAACCTGATGACCTTGACCACCAGCCCACCATCGACATCGGTTTGAGTTATTCCACATGTTGAGTAAACAACGGCGCACAGTTAGTTCAATATCTGTTTGATCTATGTCTTTCATTCACTGAAATGAATAGCACAATACGCATTCAATTTTAACCAAAATCCTGTCACGTTTTACCACAACTTAACGATGCGTATATATTTAAATTGCAACTCCAGTATGTAAAAATATATAATGTAACATATTTAACTAAATATCCGTTGAAACTTATTGGGTTCAACATTATACCGCTTGTTGGTGTAAGATGAACTCATCAAAAGTAGCTAATACTTGATGGCCTTAAACCATGTTCACGGTAGCTCCAGCAACAGATACTGAATGTATTCATAATCCAATTGTGACTGGTGGAGTCACGGTGTTCTTCTACGATAAATGATTATTCAATTTGTCATTTGTCATTTTGTATAACTTCTCTTACAAATTTGAGGAAGAAATACTTACTTTTGTTATATCCAACTGTCGTCAATCATTTACACCACTCAGTTTACACGGCCTCTTTGTTTTTGGGTGGTGCCATTCGTTATTGCAGTCTACAATCGAGCCTGGAATCTTACCATATAAACAGAAACACGCATGATACTCATTTCACCATCTAGCTACTGATCAACCATTGTTCCACCTTCCCTCCGTCATTAGTAAACCGCAAATCTCATCGTTGAGAGTAGTTGGCGGGCACCATACTGTGCTTATCGCAGAATCAACCCCCCCTCCCCTTGAGACGTTCTGAAAAAGAAATCACTTAAAACTGGTGTTCACTTACTACTTTGTCCTGCCCATTGTTACGTCATCCGTGAATTCATAGGTCGATTGCCAAAATACGAGCCTCGTGATTGTCTCTCTTTCGTTTACCGCAGTTCCCATGTTGGTTTGCAATTCAGACAAAAAAGCAGAAAGAACCACCCACAAAGAACGGAATAACAGCAGTAATTTCTTTTTTATTTTGTGATCTTTTGATGCCATGCAACTTCCTGTCAAGAGATTGGCCGCGCGTTATGACGAACGTGGTTGCGATGAAAATCGTTATTTTCATGGGTTACTTTTCGTTCGAACGAAACAAAAACAGATGCACTTTTATGCTTTAGAAAACCATATCCTTACTTGTTAGAAGCAATAAATGAACATTACAGTGATGTAATACTTTTGTTGTGGGATACATATTTGCACGTAACAGGTTAGTTACTACTTGTGGTACATTCAAACCCAAGTTAATTTTCGAGTTGTCTCAACAGAGAAATTCTAGACAGCGCGCAATTTCACTGTTATCATATGACGTCTCTCGTATGGGAAATCAAATTACCGGTTTTATACAATAATTCTGATTTCAGTCCAGACCCTGGATCACAAATGTGGGTGTGAAATACAACATGTGATCCAGTCAACTGCCCGCCCAAGCAGTGAGATGATACTGCGTGATGTAGTTCCGAACGATGAAACCACTTCTGCCATGTTCCCTTGAAATTAAATTACACAAACTACTTGTTTACTTTCAACCTATCTACCCTTGATTGGGTCCTATCCCATGCGTAACTGACAACTGTGCATGTGATGCTGAAAGTCAGGTGATATCAGAGGACATGGGATCGTATTTGGCACATTTGTTGCCGGCATACCAAATTTGAAGCGCCCTTACTTGAAACTATACATCTTAGGGAACGAAGTGTTTCAGCTGTATTTTGTAATGTTCAAAGGTGAGTCAGAGAATTTCTCTTTCATCTAGGCACTGAGCGGACTGCTTTTTCAGATCAGTAAATGGCTAAGAAGTTACACTTGTTGTTATTGAGACCGCAGGTCAGCGAACGCGTTAAGCTTTCTTGGTGCTTTATCAATTCCCTAGCAAGAGCTCAGTAGACTGAAGTAGTAGTGGGAAGAGACATTGATGAAGGAGATGCAGTTTAAAATGCAACGNCGATGCGATTGGGTTTTCTGTGTGAAAATTGGGTGGGTAGAGAAAGAGTGGGTATGAATGAGTTTGCGGTGAATGAAGGAACGTTTATCCACTGAAAGTTCGTCATCAAGTGGTAGGTGGATAGTCACGGCGAGATAGGGGTTTTAAAAGCAGTTTCTGCTTGCAGAAGGAGGGCGGTTGTGGAGACGGACGGCCATTGCCTAGGCCGTTGACTGATTTCAGGATTGGACCAATGGGGCTTTGACCCTTGATCTCGTTGGATATCTTTAGCAGTAGCAGTAAACGTTCATCGATCAACCTGAAGATTGATACTAAATGTCGCATTCAAAACCTCACCGATTTTCTTAAACAGATCTCACGGTGATTGTGGTAGGGGAGGCGCCTTTCCTGTTTTTCGCAAGTATGCAAATAACCTAACGTAAAGCACCTATGGAAGCCTCTATAGTGGGCATTTAACTTGTTTCAGCTTAGCACTGCCCTCTTTAGATATCTGAATCGGAAAAGAAGTTGAAAATGATTAATTATTGCACGCATATAAAAACAAATAGATAATGGTTTGACTTCGAAGACTAACTGAGACGTCAAAACCGCAGGAAGTCAAGAGTGGCGAGATGATGCCATTTTGTTTGTTATTCGCAATCACTGAATTGTAATAATCTAAAATACAGAAGCAGAAAGATAGACAGATGGCCAGATAGACAGATAGATAAATGGAAGAATAGATAGATAATAATTCTACCACTCATAGTAGAGCAACGTGAACATGTCAATGAGGATTGCCAAAAACGAAATTGAAGGGTAAAATTCACGGCAAATGAATTGAATTCTTCAAC